CACACAACCACAAACACACAAACACAAACACACAAACACAAACACACAACCACAAACACACAACCACAACCACAAGTACAAACACACAATGACAAAGACACAACCACAACCACAACCACAACTACAAACACATAATCACAAAGACACAACCACAACCACAACTACAAACACATAATCACAACCACTACCACTACCACAAACACAACCACAAACACACAACCACAAACACAACTACAAACACACAATCACAAAGACACAACCACAACCACAACTACAAACGCACAATCACAAAGACACAACCGCAACCACAACCACAACTACAAACACACAATCAAAACCACTACCACAACCACTACCACAACCACAAACACACAACCACAAACACACAACCACAAACACACAACCACAAACACAACCACAAACACAACCACAACCACAACACAGCACACAACCACAGCACACAACCCGAGGACCCACAAGTAACATCGAGAACTACAATACTAACGACTATGGCAACATGCTCTTCACTATGGCATCAAGACAAATGATTGAAATGTCATGGTGGGGATCACTCGAAGTAAAGTAATTTAGACTCTCGTGTTTGTGAGCAAGGGGCATTCACTGCATTCACCCACTAGAGGTGCGCTCAATTGGCAGCACCGGTCAGGAGCTAGTCGCGGGCTTGCAGTGGAGACCTTGCACCCCCAAGCAGGGCACTTGCCAACGGGAAACCGGTGGAGTAGGGTCACGAGCGGTCACGAGTCACGGCGTGTCACTCGCTTTACTGTTACTACATAGGTGGATGGCCTTGTTTGTGATTTGTAAGCGATACTTGGATGAATGTGTGCTGTCTAGTTTTGAAGCAAAGAATACGCAAACTTTGACGCTTGCACCAACCGGCTCAGCCTAGTCGTACGCTGGTTCCATCGCAGGACTATGTAAAAGAAGGTGCGGGAACAGTGCTCTCTGTGCTAGCCCAACTTGAAGAGTCTGGGGCACAGCTGGGCACAGCAAGGCACAGCCACAGCTTGGAGCTTCAAAAACGACATCATTTGGATCCATTGGGATTTTGGTAGATGGTTTGAAACTTGATGTGTTCTGAACTTTACGCAGTGTTGGATGCAGTTAGTGCTTGCCCAGCACAAGCTATACAAAGTAGCTACTACGTGGACTTTGTGCTCATTGCTGCGACGGCATGTTTGACCCTGGCTACACACATTAACGCAAGGTGTTGGGTTGTTGCATGCACAAGACCACTCTTTGTGGCCTTATG